TGCGCCGTCGTCGAGTGAACCCTCTCGCAGGATCCGGCTGGTCGAGTCTCGAAACGCGCAGCGGCGGCGAAATTCAAGTTTGACCCACGCTCGGGCATGTGCACCTCAAGGTCCACAAAGAACTGCATGCCACAATTTCTGAAAACGAGCCACAACATCACGATTCACTGACCTGCCGAAATCAGAGCATGCCGAAGACCACCATGTCCAAAGTGCTGCGCCTGCCACAAAAACCTGCACATCGACATCAACCTGCTCCGATCTCCTGCGCCTGTCACGAAAAGCCGACTTTAGACCACCAAGACACGAGGTTTCCCTTGCGCCTGCCACGAAAAGTGATCACCAAGTCCGAAAATGCGCACGGCGCCACAACGAGAGCGCACCTCCGGCTCCGTCCCGGCCAGCGTTTCGCGCGACCCTGCGCAGAGAAATTGCACTTGGAAATCTCAGGACGGAACTTTTCTGCAAGCCTGCGCAGCCAAAACGTCCAGCTCAGAGAGAGCACCCTGATCGAACCCGGGCTTTTTCACTCACCGTAGAAACCCCTCAGAGTGGACACACTGTTTGGGGAAAAAAAACAGAAAAAGAAGATACTGATTCACACAAGCTTGTGTCCCAGAAGCTCCACCGATTTCGTCTCAATCACCATGCGCATCACCGCAAGGGGCGAGCCATAGAGCAAGACGTTGATGATCACACAAACCAGACCGCTCAGGCTGCCTTAAGTAAACACAGGTGGAAAACATGTCTATCCAAACATATCCAGACCCTCATTCACAAGCTTTGAACATGGTGAAAGGCCCCTGAGGCTTGCTATGGGGTGAACCACCTGTCACATTTCATGTGGGCCAAGAACGGAGGACCTCTGAACCTTCTTCGCCTCCGCATAGGGGTGGCTGGTGGCTCTCCCAAAAAATGGTACACCCCTCTACTTAGGTACGTGGTGGTTGTTGTTTGGGTTGCAAAAACTTGTGATCTGGGGAACGTGCAATCTCTTGCTTGTCCCCAGGACAGAGGGAGTTTTGCGAGAAGTGGCAACGATTATATCAAGATTAGCATCGCTACTAGGAGCAAGGACGCTACTAGTGGCTCCTGACCTTACTACTAGTAACAAGAAGGCTATTTTTAGTAGCTCCTGGCATCGCTACTACGAGCAAGGACGCTACTAGTAGCTCCTGATGTGTCCAAACTCCCGTTCCCTTCCTGGAGAAACCTGAAGTCTGCAAGGTCCAGTTACCCTGCGAAAACCAAGTGTCAGACTCATTCTAGGCACTAAACAGCAGAAAGCGCGTCCAACAATCAAGTGGATGGTGATCATTCAGTTTTTGACCGCCAGGGAAATCTTCGTGTTTTGAAAAACCGAAGGATGACTCACACACATCTCTGGTTATGAAGAGTAAGTTGAGCCGTCCCAAAGAAAAAAGAATGGCGCACAAAGCCAAACGGATCCAAAAATGCCAACATCATCCTAATTGAATTCGTCGCTCAGGAGCTTTTGAGCGGTTGAGGCTCTTTGCCAAAGTTGAAGTCCCACTTCAAACCTGGGACGACACCTGCGTCAAGGCTGGCGAACGAGCGAATCTCGCAGACCGTTGGTTGTCGTGGTTTCATTCGTTTCGTCCAGACCGTTTCGCGTTGGACTCGTGGGTGCTCCCCAAACACTACTTTGTTTGAGGTCCAGTGAATTGGGAAGGGATTAGAAGGGCATGAAGGCCTCGAGCGAGCGCCCATGGGGGTTCTTTGTCGCGCCTTCAAAGAAGGCGATGAAGATGGCCTCCACAAAAAGGGTGATGGCTAGAAGCCTCGCAATTTCTTTGAAGCGACTCCTTAGCGCTGACCCGATCACGGTTGTCACATGGTTCTCACGCTTGTCGCACGGTTGTCACGCGGTGACCTCTGTTGTCTCGCCAAACGCGACGAAGCGACGAAGCCCCACCCCATGGGACGATCAGGCCCATGGGCCACAGTCCAACGGTCGGCTAAGCGAGCAGACCTTGTAACCCTCCGACACGTGCAAGATGTTCAACGATGGGAGCTTTGTGGATGTGTCCTGATAAGATATATATATATATAGCGATATATACTAAAATGATATACTGAAAAGAGCCGGACAAAAAAAAAATAAATAAAATGATATACTGTAATATGTGTGTGTGTGTATGTATGTATACATTGTTATATTAATGCGTGTGTTTCTTGCCCTTCATACATTGGCCAGAACAGTTATACATTAAACAACTCAGAACACAAGTGATAGTGATTTCTCTCACCATCGGGCATTATCGTTCAAGCAGACTACTAACGTGTGCACTTTTGTGTGCGCGCGTTATGTCCATATATGTCCCGGTCACTCTTTGGCCAATCGCACATCTGCTGTGCACCTGGTGAACTTAGTTTCTTATTTCGACTCCTGACAGTTTCAATAGTTTTATTTATACCTCCTCCCTTGTTGCGGGGGTCCAAGTCATGAAACTCCGTCAGCTTTTTCAGGGCCTGGCCTTCACTGGTTCCAACTAAACTGTGTCCCGCCATTCTCTCCAAACTGGATGAAATTTGCCAAGCTGCCCTGCGTAAAACAAGAAGATGAACATGTAGATGATAAACCTCACCAGCGCATCTCCGTTCCGATTCTCCCTTCCGAGGAACCACCAAGCAGCTGGCACACAACCAACCGACTTGCTGAAAAACCTACTGGCCAAACTATAGACCTGTGTCTCTCCCTCTCTTTCTGCAACGGGTTGAGTAGGTGTCAGTCCAATTTCGACTCAAAACCTGATGATGGAGATGAGGAGGAGGAGGAGCAGGAGGAGGAGGAGGAGTGAACGCTCCTCTCGTTTCTGTTCACTCCTCTCTTTTTTTGACATCTTGATACTTGGACTTCACCAGCTATGCTCGCATCAAAGAACGGCCTTGATACAACTGAGCTGCGGACATGAATAATCCGACCGCATTGATCTTAGCAAGACGGAAGATCGCTTGCCGAGCCGGTCGACGGCCAAGCACATATTGCGGTCAAGTAAACACTACTAATTACTTACTGCCCATATTGAAACCTGGTGAGGAAACCACCTGAAACAGGATCTGATTGAAGCACCAAAGCGGTGTTTTGTTACTAGACCCGAATGCTCTACCGTCAAAGCGACTCGGCCCGAAAGGACGAGGTGACGAGGTCGGCGGGCTCCGAAATCGGACACGGAACGCCGTTGACAAACAATTGAAGCCACCATCTGCTGAATCTGCTTGCATCAGGTTCAGGCGTTACACGAGTAGCTCTTGGACAACAAGGCGGTTGTTAGGTCAAGGTCCTTCCCAACAGAGGGTGATGTCTGCTGCAAGCTCCATGCCAAAATCTCAACAACTAGCAGAAAAAAACCAGAACATGAACTGTTGCTGAATTGGATGCAACCTGTTCAGATGGTCGCCACTGTGTGTTCTTCCTGTCACCCTGCCACTGCAGGCCTTGTCGTCCCGTCTGAGTACAATCAAGCAGCTAGGAGATTGGGCGTCAAATCAGCTGCAGAGGATGCCATGGTCACTGCGTACTTGGCCGGATGAGCAGAGATGAGTTGTGAGAACATGCCAGTCGTGGGGAGCTGCACTGAAGTTAGTGTCCTGTCTTAGGGATATACTTCGGGAGTTGGGGTGATTAGCTGTCTGCCTGTGTGAAGCCCGTCTGTAAAGCATGAAAGGCGGGAGCCTTCCCGGATCCTCCGGATTCTCTGAAGGTGCTGAGCCAGGTGGCATAGTAGACCCATATCGAGCAGTTGAAGATGCCCATGGCAAACCTCAGAAGATCTATCTTGCAATTGCAGTGCAGGATGAGAAATGATGAGAACGCTGCTGCCTGGTGTTTGTATGAGTTCGTTTAGGGTTTAGGATGGTTTAGGGGTGCAACAAGCTCCAGCTTCGAAGCCATCCAACAGAAAACAGAAGCTTCTGCAGCTGCCACAGCTTGTGGCAGCCATTCCACGCTCTCAGATTCTGTCTGAAGGTTGCTGCAGCCAGTTCATGGGGAGACCTTCAGAATTTGGGACACGTCCCCATATGATCTATGCTCTCTCCTCTCTTGTGAACAACCACATGATCACTCAAGCCAATCAATGCTCCCACCCAGCTCTACACCCTCTTCCCGACGCTTCCGGACAAACATCAAAGCCATCGCACCGTCCGCCGACCGCGAGCCGCAACGATTCTGCGACCGCGCTGCGGAAAGGCTGAGAACTCTCGGACGTCCTTGGAGTCCATGACTCGCTTGCAGGTGGTCACTGGGCTCAGGAAATACCTTGGCGACACATTGAGAGGCGCGCCTTGAGCGATGACACGTGGGAAGCGTGAGAAGATAGCTGCTTCATGCTGTTTCCCTCCAAGGCTTCTCTTGGATCCCCGAATGGTCTAAATCTGTGAGCCGCAACTGACTTACTTATCTCTTTCAGCTCATGACTATCACATCAAAACCATCAATTCTTCGTCTAATCCCGAGTACCTATAAAAAAAAAACGGACCCTATTGAAAAAAGTCATGTCGGAACCCCCTAAATACGGTTTATATTTGTTGTTAAATTACCGCCCTTTCAAGCCGCTACTAAACTACCAACATGGCCGATTTCCAGAGTTTTTATTAGGTTCCAAAAACAACCGTAACTGCCAAGGTTTTTGTAGGGGGAAAAGGAAGACCCTTCGATCTGGAGGTTTTTTGATTTTTTTATATGAGTTTAATAAAGGATTTTATATGATTTTATACGAAATTTTCCTGCGGGTGACTTTTTGGTTTTGAAGCCCTTCCCAGGTGACCCTATTTTGGACCACCCCGATTTCCGGGACCCCCTATTAACAAAAATGCGACCGAGGTTTCCTTCTTAGGGGGGAGGCGGGTCTTTTAATAGGTGGACCGGATTAATCACCAAACCAATGGAGGGAAAATATCCCATCAAGGTCATCAAGGATCTACTTTCTCCAGTTGTACTTGGTTGAACATCTTCACCTCCCCTGCATCAATTACCCTGGTAGCCTGGTCCAAAACAGAAAAGTGGTCTTCCATGTGACGACATTGGGAGGCCTTCCAACTCTGGAGGGTTTCTGGAGGCCTCCAACACATCTGGATGTGCTTCACAAACCCTCACATGGGTCCCTGGTCGAGTCTCGCCCATGCCGCGCCCATCAGCCCATCAGCTGAGGGCTGCTGGACCACACGACGCCAAGAGGCAGGAACGTGAAAACGGTCCTTGGGCTCGAAGGGAAGCACAGACGACTGCAGAGGGGAGTCACTAGGGGAGTCGACGTGATGAGAGGAGTCGGGATAAGGATAAGCGCAGGCAAATCCAGATTTGAAAAAATGTTGCGAAAAAAAAAACTCTGGTAATGGTTCCCATTTATCATGGAATCTCAGCTGACATGTGTTGCCGTTCCTTTGGATGGGCAGCACATCTGGATGGGCGCATTGATCCGGCCATCAACATGGATCCGACCCAACTTCGGAACAGTCTTCCATTTGTCAAGTTTGGCGCACGAATCCCTCAGCCATGTGCTTTATTCTCACGTGGAAAAAAAAGGACATCTGCCCAAACTCACGTCTTTGAAAGGAATGGGATGTTGCTTTAACTTGCCTTAGCTTACAAGTTACAAGCTTTCATGGATTCTGTACTTCTTGATATGAGTACATTTTGAGCCACATCCCGATGTTTTGCAGAAACTTGTTCCCACGTGGCACCCACATCGCACCTTCTGCCAGAGGCTCCCCGTATACGCGAAGGCATCCGCAATCCAGTGTGCCGCCATGGGGTGAGCGAATGCCGATCAGCGCGGGATCAATACGCGCGCAGGTCGATGCTGTTGGATGACTCGATGGTGCGTCCTCTCTGTTTTTTTGCTGTCATGAGGCTCGTTTGCTCATCGATTCCTTGGGAATGAAACAACTGCGGCAACCGATCGGTGCACGGCGACCCATTCCGGTCAGGGGAGGGTCTCCTTATTCCGGTGAGGGGCATGTCGGAGCTTCATTTCTATGATCCCTGGCTTCTTTTGACAGAATTTCCACAACAGGAGGGACCCCACCAAGAAGAAAGCTTGGCTCTGGTCCTTCGGAATCGGCCTGGGTTGAGCTCCAGCAGCTCCAGCACAACATGAACGTTTCCATTTGTATCGGAAAGCCAGCAGTTTAGCCAGAAGTCGTTGTCTTCATGTGTAGATGGGTCTTGAAATTGAGGGACACCCCAAGAGGGAAAATTAACCAATCCATTGGTCCTAATCGTCTAAACTCATGTCTCGGCACATGAACTCCAGTCCGTCCATCGCAAGAATGGCAAAAGAAATATTAGACCTGCTTTTCCAAGCGTTTGGAAGAGTCCCCTGAACTGGGGCTCATCAACACTGACTAGATGTGGTTGGAGGGTTGGACCCATGTTTGGGACACCCAAAATTTGGCAGTGAAAAGCGTGAAAAAAACTCCTGCACTCGCATTTGTTTGTCTCACGTGCGCAAATGCAGTGAGCGAGGAGGTGTGTCCAAAACCTGCGCGGTCGGCAGCAGCTGCGATGGTTCACAGGTGAGCTCAGCTGCTTTGGGCAGGTTCACACAATGACCATGGTTGATCTCCACATTTCGGGGGGGAAGGGTTTCATACATTTCTTCTCATGTATGCTGATGGGGGGGACAAGTGATCTTCACACCAATGACCATGGTTGAGTCTTGGAGCTGTCTTGAAGGCAATCTGTCAAAATGCAACCTACCGCAAACACCTCATGGCACAGGAATGGCACACATGTGTGCAATTTAATTAGTGCCTTTACCGCTTCCATGACTTTGCTTTGGGGGTGGTATAATAGTTTCAAACCACACAAGAATTAGACCTGCTTGCAATCATCGCCACTTTGCCGCAAGCTTCAGCATCCGCCAGCTTCAGCCCCCTCCTTTTTGGCCCTCGCCTTCGCCCAGGAAAGCATCTCCTCCGCCAAGCCTTGGCCCTCCTCCGCCGACCACATCCGCCCGCACCAGGAGCCACCCCCTGGCATCCGGTCCAGATGGCCTGCTGAGCCTGGGGGGAGATGAAGTGCGATGCAGCAACCGGCCACCGTTGGTGTTCGACAAGTCGAGGAGTGACTAGCGATGGCCTCCACCCTAGTGGCGATGGCCTCCACCCTAGTAGCGATGGCCTCTTAGTAGTGATGGCCTCCAACCTAGTAGCGATGGCCTCTAACCTAGTAGCGATGGCCTCCAACCTAGTAGCGATGGCCTCTAACCTAGTAGCGATGGCCTCCAACCTAGTAGCGATGGCCTCCACCTTAGTACCGATGGCCTCCACCTTAGTAGCGATGGCCTCCACCCTAGTAGCGATGGCCTCCACCCTAGTAGCAATGGCCTCCACCCTAGCGATGGCCTCCACTAAGAGATTTACAGCAATTCCTTCATTGTAATCAAGAGCTATACTTCTAGATACCCGGAATACGTACCAGGTCGGTATCTCAGGCCGTTGTTGTGGGACTTTGCGTTCAGATCAGGCAGATCGGGAAACACTTGCCCGTGCCCCGAACTGCGTATGTCTGTCGGTTTGGTCGGTTTGGTGCCATCAATAAACAACCACAAGGGACCTGCTCAAGCAGTGCGGGCAGGTGCCGACACCGACAGTCATCCAAGCGAGCATTGAGCTGACAGAGTATGTCTATAATCCCACTCCCTATTATATACTCAACCTCCCCAACTGGGCATTCTATCACGTATAAAATGTATTACAATCTAGTAAGAACTCCAGTATCTGGAAACTTTCACTAACCGCCTTGCTGCATACCTTGCATACCTGCAAGCAGCTGTCCCATCCAAGGAGATCTAGCCTCTCCCATCGAGACACTCAAAAAGGAAAAACGGCCACCCATCTGAGGTCACTGACAGAAGGTGTGGAGGTGCATCCATTCGACCTCAGCAAAAGCAAGCACTCGTGACCCACCAATGGTGCTGATGGCCGTGCATGGCTTGAGCATTAGGAAGTCAAGGATCAGGTTTTACCCTAGATTTGGATCTTCGTCCGATTCACTGGGACCGATGTTTTTCTTCTTGAACGCCCAGAACCGCCCTGCCAGTACAAAATTTGTTCCCAACTTCGGGTTGAACAAATCGACCAAATGTCCAACCACCAAACGGAATCCATGTTCGGAATCGGAATGCCTTCGCCGACTTCTCTTCGCGTTTTTGGGCCTGTTTTCTTTGTTTGTTTGTTTGGAAACAACGAGCACGGCGTCGGCTCGGATGCTGCCATGACGCGCTTTGGTTCGCTGGAGCCTTAGGGCGGGGCAAATGACTGGGGGCTAAAAGGAGATCGAGATTTGCTGGAAGGAAAAAGATTCAACCTCCACCCCCATTGCGAAAATCACGGCAGAACCACAAAATGGAAAAACATGAGACAACGCAGTTCCATTCGGAGTCCTTGTAACAAGCCATGGTGTGCTATGGCGTCTCACAAGTGAGACGAGCGCGTCGTGAATGTCTAGTCCGAACCAAACAAAACATTGGAGAAAGAAGGGACGCATAATTGCAAGGCATGCGGCATGCTCCAATAAAGACATGCCAAAAGTGTGTTCTTGCAAACAAACGATTTGCACATGATTCCTGTCCACTTGCTGCAAACTCTCTCCTTCCTCTTCAATGATTCGGTCTTACGGTCCGGGTGGCGTGGATGCATTGCCTCACCGGCCCCGCGGACCAGAACTGGAACTCATGGAAGCTCTCCCGCAAAGCCTCCTCCAAAACGTGTCATCCATCAAAACATACACGAAAGCGGAGAGGTCAAAAAGGGAGGTGTGTGTGTGTGTGTTGTTGTGTCTTTTAATGTGAAGTAGGAGCCACAAGGTGCCGCAACAGGCCCGATCAATTCTTTGCTGCCATGTGCCCGTGGATGGTTATGTAGACGTGGTCGAGACTGCACAGCCCAGCAAAATTCAAAAGAACATGACTACCGAAAAATCCAAACTGAGTATCTATTTGCTGTAGATAGGTTGCATCTTGCACAAAAAGTTCTACAAAATATACAATTGTGTTATGAGTTATCAGTGTATACACGTTTATCTCACCGCATTATTTTATATGTTTCAATTTTGTTACTATATTATCTCGTGCGTCTGTCCAGATCAGAGACTTGTCTACTGAAGCTTTTTAACATAAGGAATAAGGACTTCTCGATCGCGTGGTTTGTGGGCCCAAGGATCGCGAAGTAAAGTCCGCTCATGTAGGTAAAGTTGGTTGTTGGTCGTTATGGATTTTACCTTGCCAAGCCCACCACCTTGATCCTGTATAGTCTTTGAAGGGCCGTCTATTTACATTGTGTTCTCTTATTCTCTGGGCGCCACAATTGGGCATTCGCGTTCGTGGGCTCCATCGTGCTCTGTATTTTTTTCGACAGCCTGATTATATTGCATATTGTATTTTGCTACAGGTTACATTATGTTTTGTTGTAAATTATATATGTAGCGTGTGTAAATACAGTAAATGAATCCCCCTTAATTGTTCATAGGCGGGTCGAATTGTCATTTAAAATCATTTGTGCTTATAAAATGTGAGGGATAGGTGTTTTTGCTTATAAAAAGAAAACCAACTAGTTTATAAAATGTCCAGCATAGGTCATGATAGGTTAAGATAGAAATATACATCCAGAAGAGACAATTTATGAAATTAGATTGCGAATCGGGAATCTCCGTATGATGCCACATCCGTAGCCTTTTAATTAAAAAGTTCTTGATTTCAAGAAATCAAATCAAAACACCAATTCAAACTCCAGTCCAGAACGTGATCTTTTTAAAATGAGAAAGCGTGTTTTGACCAGCCTCCAACACCTTGCCAACTGAATTCCTATAAAATTATACTTGTGGGTTCATCTGCCATCTATTACTGTCATTCACTCTCGAAGTTACTGAAGTTTATTAGATGACCTGTGTAAATCGATACTCCAGATCTTAGGTAGTTATCCAAAATATGTTGCCAAAATACAGACCCTTATGTTTATGAAATATCCCGTGGAATTTGCATTTTATGTGAGAAAAGGATCGTCATTTCATAAGACTTCATTCATGGGGGATGTATACGATATTCTATCATTCTATTACTGTTATTAATATCAGCATTATGCGCGGCTTCCAACTGAACACCACGAATCCACCGATTTACACCTGGACGATCTCATGGGCTGAAGTCGGTGAGCACTGCAGGAGCTCGATGATGTTTCCTCAGTTGGACAAAGTGGATTCAGGTTCTTCTGCAGGTCTGCCTGGTTCCTTTTTGTTGGCCAGGCTTAGAGCTCACCCAATGTTGTGCCACAATTGGCCGGGCCATGAAAAATCTCACACAAAAGTCACTCCCTTATACACTGTTGCATCACTGTTGGACCCAGTCCTCTTCAATTTCCCCATGCCCACTGTGCCAAGCGACGAAAATACATCTGTGGAATCGTCAACAGAGCCTGAGTAACGCTTGCTTGCAGGCATCGCTAATTTGCTATGTTGCCCAGCCAGGCATGACCACTCACATTGCATGATATGATCCGATCTGACAGAGACGCCCTGGGATTTGCTTTGGGCATATTTGTCAAACAAGTAGGGGCACCCCTGGCTGGACTGGCAAGCTGACCAGCTGTTGGGTTTCTCAACAACCAACGGGTCAGGTTTAGCCTTGCTCGGGTTTCAGCTTGTCTCCAACACAAGCGCACATAGCCTGTGGTGTTTGTCAGGAACACCTTCGCAACCACATTTCAATGACAGCAACCATCTTCGCACGGACATCCCTTCCAGCAGTCTTTGGCCAAAGGGACAATCGAGCTTTGGTTGCGGCAGCCTTTGGCACTGTTGCGGTTGGTGAAGGTCACCGTCGACCTGCGAGCGTTGGTCGCCTTGTTTGAGCGGTAGTTCTTTGTCCAACCAACAACCACGTGAATCAACATCACATTCCTCTACACAGCGTGTTCATGTTTACCATCTTGGAAAGGCAAAACACCGATACGTGGGCAAGAGGAACCATCAGGTATGCAATAAATTAACAGTGAGAAAACGCCCCCCAAAAAATCCCCGGTTGACATGCACAGGTGGGGTAGGCACACAGATTTATCCAGATAGGATTCCTGGGACCTAGGTCTCAGCTAGATATTTCTCCTGGATAAATGTTAGTGCCAACCCCGGGGCGTACGTAGGACCGCAAAATATATTCAGCGCCACTTGGATAAACAAGTTCACACAGTACAGTGGGGTAAAATTCTTGAAATATAGATTTCAGACGTGGTTTGACAAGAACTGAGTCCACATCTGCCAGATCGTGCTTTCTTTTTTTTGCCATCCAGCATTCTAGCTCACACACCTCACGCTTCATCAGAGCCATCTCCAGCGTAGCCCAACGGAAAGTCGCAAAGCAAACTGAGGAAATCCTGATATGGAATCAATTGAATTTCTTATCACCCTGTCAAAATGATCTAAATATCTATGAGAAAAAGTAACCATGGACATGATGTTCAATCACTGGCAGACGGTGAAGCACTCAACTGACTAGCAATGCACACAAAGTGTATGCACCATATTGCCATACTTAGCGATGGATTCAGCTCATCAAAATCATCAAAGGCGAATTGGAGATTCGATGAAATTTCCACAAAAACGGTAAAAGTCTGCCGAATCACTCTGTACTGCTAAGAAACCCCGCTGGATCATTGTCATCCAGCATTCTAGCTCACGCTTCATCAGAGACAGTCCCAGTACTGCCCAATGGAATCTCACGGAGCAACTTGAGGAAATCCTGAAATGGGATCATTTAAATCTGAGGAGACACCCAGAATGAAAAAGAATCGTAGAAAAATAGAGTAAACCATCGCACTGATCTTAAATCATTGACAGGCCACAGACCGCACAGATGGTGAAGCATTCAACTGCCGCGTGATGCGTACAAATTCGGTGTGAACCATATTCCCATAGGCTTGTCCACGATGGCTCGCATACTTGTTGCTGAAGAAGCTGGGAGATCGATCAAGCACCTCTGTCCAAGTCAAGCCTGGCAAACGTTCGCCAGCAGCATTCTTGACGTAGAGCTTGCCATCTGCATTGAGCAAGGGCTTGGTTGGGTGCTTTTCACGATCCAAAGTGAAGAGCTTCTGCATCTCCTGTATGATCAAGGAATTGCCACGCTTTCCACGATTGGAGTTTGCAGGTACAGCCTCAGCAATCTGTTTTAGACGTGTGACATGAACCTGTTTTGGTTATATGTTTTTCCAATCATATACAAGCATTTAAAATGTTGAAGGTTGTCTTTATTGTTTAAGTTCAGGAACTGGAATGTCTTCCGTTGCTTTCTTTGCCTTACCAATCGTTTGCTGCACCAGGCTTTTCTTCAACTTCTGCTCCACGGCCTTGGGAATCTTGACTTCGCTTGAGCCTTTGGAATCTTTGGACTTTTTGGCGTTCGAAGTTTGGGAAGTATTCGTTTCCCACATTTTGGGATCCTTGGGGAGCTCTTGCATAGCTAACTGCAAAGCTTCCACACTCTTGGTTCGAAGCGTACACTGAAAGCCATCGCAGCCAGTCTTCACCTCCTCAACCTGCAAGACCAAGACAATCCTTTCGACTGCAACCACAACCATGGGGGTAGAAGGTGTTGTGCGGAAGGACATCTTCTCTGGGCTGTCTGGGCGTGGCACTCTCTCCATGATTGCCAATCGTGCGCAACGAGTGACATCTCGCGATACTGGAAAGTGTGTGAGCCTGCAACCACGAGCCGTCTTTCTCCATACAGCCATGATCAATCCAATCTGCCATTCTTGGTAATTCTGGGGAAGGCACAACACCACAAAGGACATCGCAATCTCATCTGGGACTGATGCTTCCGGGGACTGGATCTTTGCAGCCAATGAAGCAGCAAGCTCTCTCCACGCTGCAGCCCTGCTTGTCCTGCAGGAGTGGAAACATAACCAACATAGATTTTTCTCCAGACCTTTGAAGATGACATGAAAAAAAACTTGCCCCACAGGAAATTTAGCCAAAGAAACAAACCATGTGATGACACAGGTGATTGAGAAATCGAACCATAAGCAGCATAAATTTTTCTCCAGACCTTTGAAGATGACATGAAAAAAACCTTGCCACACAGGAAATTTAGCCAAAGAAACAAACCATGTGATGACACAGGTCATTGAGAAATCGAACCAGAAGCAGCACAGATTTTTCTCCAGACCTTTGAAGATGACATGAAAACATTGCCCCACAGGAAATTTAGCCAAAGAAACAAACCGTGTGATGACACAGGTGATTGAGAAATCGAACCATAAGCAGCACAGATTTTTCTCCAGACCTTTGAAGATGACATGAAAAAACCTTGCCCCCCAGGAATTCTAGCCAAACAGACTTTTTCTGGCACAAGTGGTGGAGAAATGGAATCATATACAACCAGAACATATTTTTCCCCATGTGTTTGAAGATGACACAATAAAACCTTGTCCCCTTGGAAATTTAGCCAAAGAAAGCATATGTCTTTATTATCTTTATCGGTGATTAAGATATGAAATCATATGATTCAAGCCCTTGTTCTTCTTGTTCATCTTGTTCCCAAAGATCCCAAAGACATTTCTATAAGAAAAAAACCCGGTCCTCTTCCCAGAAACACCTGTTTGTTGTCTGATCAGCATGCATTCCCGCTCATGGAGTTGTTGCCAATTCAACTTCTTCGTGACTATACGACATCCCTGAGGGTTCTTGAGAAAGCGTGAGTCTGCTGGACACCGTAGGTTTGTGAGAAGAAGCCATAGCAATCCAATGACTGGATCAAGATGACGTAGGGGACTGGCACTGCACATAGATTGAAAAACAGAAGTCAAGGTCTTGACATTTGATGCCTTCCACGATGTTGATGTGGATGGACTGGCTTGTTTTTCCGGCAGGGCTGCTCTATCTGTTCCGTTTGAACCTGGCTTTGAAGCAAATGTCGAAGTATCTGCATCGATCATCTCTTTCCAACAAACCTCATCTAAAGACACAGGGGGTGGCATTGACCCGGCACCCAATCGTTGCATCTCTTCGCGGTTTGCTGATGTCGATGATGAGGGAACCTCCAACCCAGAAGCATCAAAAGATTCTCTGGCCTGAAGTTGTTGAAGCAAAAGCAAGCATTGCTTGTCACTGCTGGACATAGGCTCTGATTCGACATCTTTGCTACTGCGCTCCACATCAGAAGACTTGTGCACAAATCCGGGAGGTGCATCCTGATCATCTTCAAAGTCCACTTCAGGATCCTCAGAATCATCAATGTTGTTCTCCATGGTCACATTTTGAAATTTGCGCGCAGCACTGAACGAAGCATAGTGCTTCAACAACTCCTCTGGAGAGTACTTGCAGCAGCAGGACATCAAAGAAAGTGCGCCTTCAAGCGCTCTGTCTGCGCATTCCTGGAACTCCTTCTCAGAGACTGCTTTAAACATAGTCGACTCAGGCAAGGGATCAGCCATCTTTGAAGAGCTCTTCAATATTCGTCCTTCTTGAAGATCCGAGCAACGCTGCAAGTGACTCTTCATCTGTCTTGCAGAAGCATGTAGGTAATCCCTCACCGTCATTTGGCTGCTCTTGAACTGGTGCCTGAGTGATCCAAACCACTCCTCAAGGACCAATTCTGTGCTATACCATGGCTTGAAAGGCAAAGAATCAGGATATGCAGAGCACGCAATTGCCAAGCAACCGCTCAGCTGCTGCAAATTGTTGTGTGTCGCATGGTGTAGCCAGCATCTGTCTTTGCTTTGTCCTGTTTCTTTCGCGGTTTCTGCAGCCAGCATGGAGCCCAAATCCAGGATCACAAAGCCTGCCAGCGCATTTTCCAAACGCTGGGATGTGGTGAGCCCACGGTGGAAAACTCCTGACCGCAAAAACATTCGACTCAATCACGCTTATGCACTGCTTATGCTTACTGTCGCCCAAAGATCCAAAAGACCCCAAGTTTGTTCAACCTTTCGCAACACACCATCTTTAATATCTTTATATATCTTTAAAAAAAAATCTTAAGACTCTTATGAATCTTATGACCATGTTCTCCTGAAGTAATGAGTGCAGTGGTGAGGTTCATGAGCAGCATCCCATGAAGACACCATGGTACACGGATGTCAGCAACTTTGTCTACCATTTCCACGTTCAAGTGGTAGGGGTTGAAGAAGCTGGCACTTTCACGATCGCTGCATGGATCATATCCTATGTATGCGTTCGGAGGCATGAAGAGGTCTAAGCAGCCACAAGGATCTACGCTGTACTTGCCAAAGCAAATCGTTCTTGCGGCTGATCTCACACCTCCCACAACATTCTTTGCCACATGTGCAGGTCCGTTCAAGATGAACAGGACCTCACCATTCATCACGGCCTTCTTGAATGGGAATCGTGGTAGTCTGGTTTCTGGGAGTGATTCCCACCTCATATGCCGCCAAAATGGCAAAGACTTCACAACATCGGAGGTCAATCCATGGTTGAGGCCTAACAAGAAATCTTTGACCAATCGATGGTTCCCAGCGTTGTCCATGACCAGAGTCCTCACAAGCGAGCCGCCAGTTTCCAGGACATGGCCCACATAGAGCAGCATGTCCATGGCGCTGCAAGCATAAACTGTTGGTATACAGCACAGGGAGAACCTGGGTGTATGTCTCAGCTGAGAGGCACAATCCCAAAGTAGGAATTCGGTCATCTCCTGGGCGTAGCTAAGTGTCGATGCGTCCACACCATCATCACCATCTGTGCCATTTTCAGTCTCACGACTCTTCTCATTCTTCTCATTGCGTTGGGATTCAGCTGCATCAGCTGCCATCTCAATATTCTGGTCTTCCTGGATCTGCTGCCCCTCTCTGATCTTGCTCGCCTTTCTGCAAAGTTGGAGTGGCAGGAATCCAGTCTTCCCATCCCTGGCTGCTTGATCATCTCGATCTGGATTGAATGGATCAAGCCCGGCCTTCATTTTGGACAACCATTGAATATCGAGCGCTGGGCCAACATACCCCACACCCTCCCTCAGCTTGATGACATCCAGTCCTTTCAGCAAATAGGTCTTGTCAAAGGCCAAAGTATATCTGCGAGTGACCTAGGATAAATTAGTGAAGCAGCATAGTAAACATAGTAAACAAAGGTTATAAATGAGAGAACTGCAAACACCACATAGAGATATTTTTCCTGTGGCCAAGGTTTTGAGAAGAGATCATTCATCCAAAGGAACTATATTTATGGTTGTTTCTTCGAATCTAGATATTTATCAAAGCATTCATTCATGACTTTATGATATTTGTGATATTTGTGTTTCTACATTTTCATCATTTTCTATCAGAGAGGAAAACAACATCATTTAAAAGAACAAACCCTATGAAAATATATTTCCTCTGACCCATGGTTGTTCAAATCCCAAACCATGGGGTAGGAAATGTATTCACTTTGACTTTGTCACACTCTTTCTTACATTGCCTTATGATCCTTATGAACATTATGAACAGAATTCCAAAGTTCCAATGTCCATTGTAGATGATTTTAAATATTTTAGTGGATATTTCTCCATAGAACAGGCCATAGTGATAGAAAAAAGTAGGCCTCTTGAAATAAATCTTTCATAGCACCAATATCATGCTCAGTGGCTTTTCCAGATTGATCAGATTGTGCAGGAGGTACATCGTCATCCTTCTCCATCTTCTCTATCATCTCATCATCCCCATCCTTGGATTTTTTTGGTAATCTTGGCAGAATCGCCACTGGCCAACATGACAGGGTGGATAGCACTGTCAATGAGCGTGCTGTTCTGCTGCAACATGCTGGGAGATTTGATTGCGCAAAAGGATTCCGGCAGGCTCTGGGCAACGAGGTTGTGAATGGACATCTTGGTGGCTTTGAAAGCCAATCCAAACTCCTTCAACAAGTGATGATTTCCAGCAGCTGTGCTGATGAGAACACCGGCCTGCGCCATCAAGGACAACTCGATCTCTGACAATTTGTGATTCCTCATACTGTGCACTCCATGCTTAGCACGTTGTGCCTGCTCCACTGCAGCGCATAATATTCCATTGATCAGTGGATGCTCCTTCAATGTGCCGGAGGCTACATGCGCTGCGAGTTTGAGGTTTACATCTTCCACTGTGTTCAAAGTGCCACGGTAGAGGTGCGCAGCCAACTCTGAAGCTTGACCTGCTAGTCTTGGGTCGCACGCTTGGGCAGTGGTCTTGATACAAGGTGTCACACAGGATTCCACAAAATCAGTCAGAGTTTGACTCCATTTGTGTCTTGGTACAGAGAGAAACTGTGATCGCACGAAACGTTGCAAGGAAGGAAGCGAAGTCTTAAAAGTCTCCTGAAACTTTCCAGAAAAGCCCATTCCAGCAAGCGCACTTCCAAGCAGTTCATCTTGCACACAAGCCACGAGATCACTGTTGAACATTTTGGCGGCTAGATATCGTGCTGCCATGTACTTGTGGTAGAAGCGGCCCACATTCCGGATCAATGTCCGATCATTCCCCAGAGACAAGCAGTGCTTACACATGGCAGGTACTCCCTCTTCTGGTGGCGCAACAGCCTCCGCATTGCTTCCATTACAGCAGCGATGAGTAATGGTAATGGTGCCCTTCTTGACATCAAGAGAGTACTTGTGTGATGATTCCTCATCCGTGCCAGGGAAGACCAAATTTTGGCTGAATGAAATCCACAATTCAATTTCTTTTTGTAGCTTGTGAAGCTTTGCTTCGACTGGGGATGTCTGCAGACAAAAACCAAAGCACTTTGCTTCATTGGTACCATCCACGGACACTGTAGGATCTGTAGGATCTTCTGGTGCTTCTCCAAATGATCCGCTATGCTTGCCTGCGTTCTTCCGATGGGTTGCGCTATCCAAGTGTTGTTTCAACCACTTTGGCTTCTTCCAGGTGATCATGTCCTAGGCATACATCAAAATCATCAAATAGAGAAAAACGCAGCACACCCTAGTGTCTGTACAGGATGTCATGGTTTTGTTGGTTGGGATCACGTTGGAGGAGAATACAAGAAAGATAAGAAAGGCCAACAAGGAAAACCATTCAGAAAACAGACCTACTCCCAAATGCTCAAAACCAGTCCCCCCCCTCATATACATTTCTAGCTCTGTTTCAGTCTTTGTTTCATATCTTCTACACTACAAAATGGATCAAAATGATGACAATTATTCAAAAATATTCAAGTATCGTAGTTTCTATATCCTATATCGTACAATCATGTACAATCTCAAGACATTTCTGCCCTGGAAATATCCTTTATCTTATAGCATCAAGACATTTCTGCCCTGCAATCGTAGTTTCTATATCCTATATCGTACAATCTCAAGACATTTCTGCCCTGGAAATATCCTTTATCTTAGCATCAAGACATTTCTGCCCTGCAGTTTTTGAGTATAGAAAAGAAGAGCCAAACACTTGCCCAAGGGCCTCCCGAGTTCCCGGTGCTTAGATCCGGTGGATCTAAGCGCTGGAAACCTCTCCGTTAGCGCTGGAAGAGCTTCTGGAGCACTGGAACCACTCCAAAACCTAGCTTCCAGTGCCCCGGACGGGTTCCCGGTGCTTAGATCCGGTGGATCTAAGCGCTGGAAACCTCCGGGCCTTCGTCAAGCAAAATTGATCTGGGATCAATTTTGCTTGATGAAGCCTTCCCGTAGATCAATTTTGCTTGACCAAGCCTTCCCGTAGATCAATTTGGCTTGACGAAGGCCCGGAGAGTTTCCAGCGCTTCACTGGAAGCTAGGTTTTGGAGTGGTTCCAGCGCTCCAGAAGCTCTTCCAGCGCTAACGGAGAGGTTTCCAGCGCTTAGATCCACCGGATCTAAGCACTGGGAACTCGGGAGGCCCTTGGGCAAGTGTTTGGCCACATTGGCTAGCCAACCCAGGTCCATCACTGGGTTGCACAGGGATGCACACCCTCAGCCCCCCATGCCCATCACTGGGTTTCAAACATAGATGCATGTAAAATAGCAAATGAAATGTACAAAATGGAACAAACGTTCGGGGAACCTCATTATACATTTTTAAGGTGTGGGTGTTCAGAAAACCAGCCGAGCATCAAATGCAGCCTTTTCTCCAGTCGACTTTCGGATACACAGAGAACACTGAACAGGGATTCGTTTGTTTTTGGTCCCTTCGGGTAGCAATGAAAGACATGGGTTGTCTCGAAAGAGCCTGTGGACTTCGGCAGGGCCTGTCTCATCACCCGCATCCTCATCTGCATCATCTGCTGCGTCAGCCACCGTAGCCGCCTCATTCCCATCGTTTTCATCCTTATCCTCTTCTTTCACACCTACGGGCATTGCACCCTTGTCTTCCTGGTCGACAGGCTTTGACTCTTTGCACCCATCATGATCAGCAATGTCGCCGGCAGAAGACATGTCACGGGCATCGTGCACCGCCTGCTGCAAATTTGTCAGACTGAAAGATCTGAACCCCGTTTGAGATCGCAACAGTTTCACACATCTTGGACAATCAGAGGGTTCTTCACCTTTGATCAAAAGTGTCAGCAATTGCACCCATCCCCCAACATTGCATTCAACAGCTCCCCGAAGCAAAGCTTTCTGACAATGTACTTTGACAAAGTCTCCGTTGATGATTCCACATTCAGCCAAATAGTTGCGAGCCACCTTTAAATCCTTTTCGTGCTGATTTTGACGTCGGGCACGTCTCTTTTTGGTCTTGGGTTCCTCCACAAGCTGATTCAGATTGACAAGCTCTTCACTCTGTTCTTGATCATTCCTCTCACGCTTCAGGACCTCCTCTGCTTTAGAATCTTTAGGTTCTTTGGCATCTGTAGCTTCTTTGCCAATGCCTGAAGCCAAGATTCTCTTGTAATCTTTGTAAGGATGAGCTGCTTCAGCTTTGCATTGACGCTGCCTCCCTTCACTGCTCATAGGAACAGCAGGCCCTCTCTCCGGCCTAGGACAGACCAAGCCAGCCCTGCCGCAGCGGCGAGCACATTGAGTCAACTTGGGAGGAGAAATTTCATTCTTGAACTTGTAAACAAAGACAGAAAGCCTTTTGGACGCATCATGTTTCGGTGTAGAAGCACCGTCCATCATTGCATTCATCTGTCTGCGTGGCCCGGCCATAGTATCAAAGAATTTTTGCCACCAATCACTATTGGCTACGCTGGTCCACATTTCCTTGAGCTCTTGTCTCATGGCACGCATGGCTGACATCTCTGAGGTCCCACAGACATTGACTTTGTATTTTTTGCCCAAAGGTGGTTCCTTCTGCAATGCCAATAGGGACCAGATGCCACAGTTCCCGTCCCCAGGAACATCTTGCATCACCACAGAAACTTCAGCTTGCAACCTTTGCAGTAGATTCTTGTAGCGAGCAAGTTTCTCCTCCTCATCTGCAATGGATCGAGATATCATATTTTCAAAGACTTCTTTGTCTTCACCTTCAAGCTCTTGACCTACTCGAATCATTCTCTGGCAAAGGCTGTCCTTGTTGTCTTTGGTTTTCTCTGCTACACGTTCGGACTCAGACTGCAGAATTGCAGCAGCATCTCCACCCAAAGATTCCAAAGACCAGCAAGGAACCCAGTGGTTCAAATATTGGCGGTCTAGACTGGGGCTGAGATC